GACATAGTTGACTGTACACTTATTGAACGCTCGAAGACGAAAACATTTTAAGGAACCGTCCTACGAATAAGAGGGAAAACCATTCCGTGTTAACACGTGGGTATTTAATATTCCATGTGCCAAAATCAATTTACCCGCCATTTTCACGCAGGAAATCTTTGGAACCTTTCTCTTAGGCACCAACCTTTATTTGGCAGCGGTATTTAACTGAAGAGGCTTATTGGATTTTATTTCTCTTTATTCCAGAAGTGGTAACTTGCCAATCTTCTTTCGATTCGCAATTTGATTTGATCGAATTTAGTTTTCTTTGGTCTAGTGGACTGTTATGAGTTTCATTTGAAGGCGTTATTACTATGTTTTTTTTGTTACTGAAATAGACTTCTTTATCAGGTCGTCGGTCCACCTTTTGGGTGGACGTACCACACTGCGTTTTCCGGAACGTGGCCTCCATTCCAGAACCTTGCTGCCCCATCGGCCGTCAGTTCTGCGTACTATGTGCCCTGTCCATTGTCACTTCAGCTAGCTAATCCGTCGGGCTAAAAGGTAGCAGGAAGGCGCTGGATGCAGGCCGCTTCTAACCGTGCGAATTGAAAAGTCATTGGGGGAGGCCTGTGTTCAGCAGTGGACATCCTGTGGCCGAAATGATGATGATAATAAACTTTTACTGATATCTTGGCTAAAATTCTTGCGTACTAATATTCTATTAGTAACGTAATTACGTTACTAATAGAATATTAGTATTTTCGAAGGCCAAATACATTTCCTTAGATTAGTCAAATCTGTAAACCCAGAATGATAGATGATCACGCTAATCACAGGCGTCAAATCTTAACGGGTAGACCGAAATTAATCCTAAAGTTTACGCCGTCACTGTCACCAATAAACGAGGAAACTTCGCGGTTTTAAATTAGCTGTCAGAGCGAACAATCGAAGGCATAGTCGCATTACCATCATCAATAAATCGGAGCGTCTCTCGGAATGATTGACAGTTTTGCCACGCTTCACAGTCAGAGGGCGGTGGAAGTGATAGACGGTAGCGGGTTTCAACTTATATCAATTAGACAAAAATGTAGCGAGCTAAAGGGATGAAATATGGAAAAAAGACTAAAAACGCGGCAGATCGTTGTCTTTGGTTTGTTTTGTTATATTAGCTATCTGGTAGTGGACTGCAATTGCCTGAAACAAAGAAAAATTTATAATGCTCTTTACTAAAAAAAATTAAGCAGCAACAGCAAGTAAATTAAATATTAGTCCAAGAGGAAGTGTGATGTTTTTTTTTTTCGGCTTTTACATAGTCATGACTAAAGTAAGCGTATTGTTGCTCAGCACGCCAATTTACGCATTGTGTCACTGGGTTTATATTTGTGAATAGTGTATCTTGAGTTTATGGCATAAAAAGCATATTTTAAATAAATTTTTATTAAAAAATTGTTCTCTGGACTGCCAGTCAGAATTAGTCAAACAATTTTCCCAAAACTTGTCCCGTAGCCCCGAATTCGTGTAATCACACGGCCCATTGGCTGAGCCAACTCATCGGCGAGACACCGACTCGCCGCGTCATCCGCCTCCGCGTCGTTCGTGCTAATCTATGTTTACTCTTTCACTTAGGTAGATACTATTTCAATATCGTAACCTTTGAAAATTTACTGACATGGAGACTAAATTTTTTGCACTCTTTTTAGTATAGCCCCTTATCTAGAAATAGGAATAAAGTTAAATCTTAGGTGTAAAAATTTCTTGCGCTGCTTCTTCTTAGCACTGACCCTTTTATTCTGCCGAAGTAGTGGTGGAGTTCAGCTAATATTAAGACCATGTCAAAGCGCTTTCTGAAAGCCTATATTATGTAGGAAATAATCACTTAGATGCAGGCATAATTTTAAAATTTCCCGATGAGTGCATAGTATTCTCTTTTGCCTTGAAAAAATCCAGGTAAAAGTGAATCTTCAAACTTATTTCATTGCAACAAAGTTTACGTTCTAGCTTGCATTGTCCTGGATTAATGAACTTTAACAATCAGCCACAATAAGCTTTAAAACAAACGGAACATTATTACCATTGTCAAAGGAACGCCCCTTTTTGTCCGGAGAATCGCAGTTTTGAGACTGGAATCAAGTTAAAACTGCGGTTGAGTTGAACGCTCTCGTAAAAAGAAGAGTTGCAACTAGTGACGCAATGGCCATTGTCGATAATAACTTTGATAGTTATGTGAAAAAACATCTTTTTTTTTCTAAAATAACCCCTATTACAACTGAATTAAGATGCCACAGTGTTTATCTTGGTGAGCTGTCGTCTGTATACAATACGAATATATTATTTACATTAATATCAAATCTTGGTTCTCGCATCAAGACTGCAAGAATCAATGATGATGATAAGGGATGTTGAGCAGTTTCTTGAATTTTTTGTGGAAATCAGAAAGTAGTTAATGGAAAAGATTAAAGCTTATAGAGCCCACTCCTTTATCATACGATACCATCGATAACGATTCAAAAGTCATATAAACGTCACTAAAACTACCTACTTTAACAAGTTCTGTTACTTGAAAACTCCTCCATTTTATGGGGTAAGATGACCACAAGATTTGATGTGGCCATTGACACAGAAACTTGAATTGAAATTATTTAATAAAGCAGACAGCGCTTATTACTGAAATTTTTGAATTATTATTGTCTAAATATGGACAGGAAATAATCTTGAATATTAACATAATTATTTCTAACGTATCCCAATGGCCTGGTAGTACCGACTCCAACCGAACGTTTCTAGCTCCACCGATCCCGTAAATAATTCATGTGAATTTGGTTTCATGATCATTACTGTAATCTGTAGTGTCTTAACAATGTGTCGTCAACAATAGACCATGTTATAGCTCTATTTTAATTTTAGGTATTCATTCTGATTCTGGAATCCATGTCTAACCTTACATTTTTAATTCTACTAGTATTTAACAGCATCGTCCGACAAAACAAAGAGCTGCTTTAGAGCGAGGATCTCATTGAATTTGTGCAATCGAGCCGGGACGTAAAATGTTTTCAGCGACTATGAATGGTGTTGGAAAAAAGTCCCTTTGAGATTTCATCCACACAGACACACGGTGAGAAAATAATGAGTCTCTTTTAGACGTGTTTAAATGAATGCTTTTAGAGTCATGTGCAGTGCGAGTTATCTTGGAAGCAACTTGGGTCGATAGAGGCTAAAGTAAAGGCTGTAGAGTACGTCCTTACATGCAGAAGACTATTGTTAGATAAATGGTCTGTCACACTGCACAGCGGTCGTGCTTTGTTTTTTGGGTTTTATTTCTAATCCTACTAATATTATTGTTAGAAAGTAGTTTGGACATCAAATAAACTATAGACAATCTTAAACTTTATAGAATGTTTTGTCTATGTAATATTTTATGGATTATAAAATAAAAGACACTCGATCTTCGGCTTTCACAGAAATACGTTATGGCGGAAATGGAAAGTCTATGCCCGACTCATCAAATGTCAAATCAGACAAGTCAAGTGTCAAGTGTTATCGTTGTAAGCAGTTTGGACATTACAAATCTCAATGTAAACAACAGAGTAATCAGCCTCAGATAAAGAAAACAAACGCATTTTCGGCAGTTTTCTTGAGTGGAAATTACAGCAAACAGGACTTTTATTTGGATAGCGGTGCGAGTACACATATGACTCCAAATATAAACATGATACAGAATGCATCTTTTACTACAAGCATTAAGGAGATTATAGCGGCAAATCAGAATGCTATGCCAGTTTTATGCTCTGGGGATGTCGATATCATGACCGTTACTCCGGATTCCCTTTATGAAGTGACGCTGAAAGATGTGTTGTGTGTACCTAACCTTACCACAAACCTAATTTCCATCAGTCAACTTATCAAGAATGGGAATAAAGTCGATTTTAAAGAGAATTGTTGCTATGTTTACAACAGACAGAACACTTTAGTGGCTGTAGCAAATCTGATAGATGGTGTCTACAAGATGGTCATAGAAAAGAAACAGTGTTTGTTTACATCAAGCTCTTCAGCAGCAAGCAGTGAAATGTGGCACAGGAGACTTGGACATCTGAATATGAACGATCTGAACAAGATGAAAGATGGAGCAGTGACAGGAATATCGTGCACTGATAACTCCGTGATCAACAAAAACTCGTGTACCGTGTGCTGTGAAGGAAAGCAGTCGCGCTCACCATTTGGCCATGTGGGAACGAGGAGCAGCGAGCCATTGGAAGTTATCCACGCTGATGTCTGTGGCCCCATGGAGGTTACTTCAATTGGTGGAGCAAGGTATTTTCTTATATTTGTTGATGATTTTACTCGAATGGTGTTTGTCTATTTCCTCAAAGAAAAAAGAGAAGTTTTCAAGTACTTCAGGGAATATAAGGAATTGGTAGAGAACCAAGGTTGAAAAGTTACCTAATGAAAAGACTTTAGTTCAATGTAAGTGGATTTTTAAAAGAAAGATTGATGTTGATAATAGTATACGTTATAGAGCGCGTTTGGTAGCAAAAGGTTTCACACAGAGACCCGGTATTGATTATGATGAAACATATTCACCTGTAGTGAAACATTCCACAATTAGGCTCTTATTTGCTTTGTCTGTACAATTAAATCTTGATATTACTCATTTAGATGTGAAAACAGCTTTTTTGAATGGATATCTAAAAGAGGACATTTATATGATTAAGCCTGATATTAATGATAATAATAAGAAGGAAAAGGTTATTGTAAAGTTAAATAGAGCTATTTATGGCTTAAAGCAGTCCTCTCGCTCATGGTATGAAAGAGTAGAGCAATGTCTTTGTAAATTAGAGTTCAAAAAGAGTAAATTAGAACCTTGTGTTTTTACAAAAATGTACAATGATGTTAAAATAATAATTGCCTTGTACGTAGACGATTTCTTTGTTTATTCCAACAGTAAGAAAGAAACTGAAGAATTAATATCTGTGTTGAGTTCTAACTTTAAGATTAAAAACTTAGGACAGGTTCAACAATGTTTAGGCGTAAGGGTAAAAGTTGATAAAGATTTGAATTGCATTACTCTGGATCAGGAAAAATATGTAGAACAGTTGCTGGATAAATTTAATATGTTAGATTGTAAAATTGCAACTACTCCTATGGAATGTAAATTAGATATTGAAAAGCCTGATACATGCAATCCTGAGATTCCTTACCAACAATTGATAGGCAGTCTAATGTACCTATCAGTACTTACTAGGCCTGATATTTCTTTTTGTGTCAGTTTTCTTAGTCAGTTTAACAAATGTCACACTAATACACATTGGAGTTATGCAAAAAGAATACTCAGATATTTAAAGAAAACCAAGAATTATTGTCTAAAATATGTAAAAGAAAAATCTGAACTTGTTGGATTTGTTGATGCCGACTGGGCTAGTAATACTGTAGACCGCAGGACTTATACTGGTTATTGTTTTACTATGTCAGGTTCAGCAATTTCTTGGGAGAGTAAAAAACAGAGAACTGTGGCTCTATCTAGTATGGAAGCAGAGTATATGTCCATTTCTGAAGCTAGTAAAGAGGCTATATATTTAAGAAACTTCCTGTTTGAATTAACTGGTAATCTAAGTACTGTTCTGATGTATAACGATAGTCAAAGCGCACAGAAATTAGTGGCAAATTATGTATGTCAAAAGAGAAGCAAACATATTGATATTAGATATCATTTTGTGAAAGATGTAATTAATGATAAAATTATTGATTTGAAGTACATGCCAACTAATGCAATGCCAGCTGATGTTCTGACTAAAGCGTTATGTCCCATAAAACATTATAAATGTATTGAAAGTTTAGGAATTAGTCAAATGGACTGTTAGATAAACTGTTATTGTTTTTGTAATTATCGTTTATTTGCTGTAGTTGGGGTGTTAGAAAGTAGTTTGAACACCAAATAAACTATAGATAATCTTAAACTCGATTGAATGTTTTGTCTATGTAATATTTTATGGATTATAAAATAAAAGACACTCGATCTTCGGCTTTCACAGAAATACGTTATTTTATTTCAATTATTCCCATTATATAAAATAAAAGACACTCGNAACTGTTACTGTTTTTGTAATTATCGTTTATTTGCTGTAGTTGGGGTGTTAGAAAGTAGTTTGAACACCAAATAAACTATAGACTCTAGAATGTTTTGTCTATGTAATATTTTATCGATTAAAAAATAAAAGACACTCGATCTTCGGCTTTCACAGAAATACGTTATTTTATTTCAATTATTCCCATTACTAGCTGACCCGGCGAACTTCGTACCGCCTTAGCGTAGAGATTTTCTTAATATTTTTTTCTGTAAGAACCATCCTTGGACTTCCACAAACATTTAAAAAAAAGAATTATCGAAATCGGTTCAGCCGTTCACACGTGATGCCGTGACAACGCGAAACGGGTTTCATTTTTATATATATATCCCATTATAATAATTACTATGAAGTCTCACAGTGCGCGTGGACGCACAGGGTGACATACGAACCAATCACAGAGCTCTATCCAGCGCTGTGCGTAAGATTTTCTGCTTTACTTAAGCAAGCATCGTTTGTGAATACGGGCGTTAGTTTTTGCAACGTACCTATCCTAGGACAACTTGTATGATTATACACCACTAAATTTATATCACCGAAAAAAAATATTCTGGGTAATGAGTTATTGATACTGATCCTATTTATGCACAAGAAAAAGTTAAATAAAGTTACTCAAAATTTCATCCTAAAATTGGTGATTTATGGACACACGCGTCGCAAGCACTATTTACGTAAGATAATGTAACACTTATTAGAACTCAACATGGTCTAAGTTAGCTAAGTATGTAATAATAACACTGGAAGCGTGGTCGAGGCGTGAGCGAGACAGACAGATCGGGGCAATGTGCGAGCGCGTACGACTACTCTAGCGAGAAGCAGAGTGACCCAGCTGTGACGCGTAAAATACGGACTAAAGAAAATTTAATAAAAAAAAAAACTTTATGAAAAACATTTCTTTTTCTTTTGCTTTAAATTTTTCACACGTTTCTACTTAACCTGTTAAAATTTTTTCGGTTATAAAAATGTAGTGGTGTATATAATACGTTCTATTCATGATTAAATAAATTAATAAATGATTAAAAACTCACCTGTATAGATCTGGCCTGTAGTATAAACCCTCCAATAGGCGTTGGCGCACCAGCAGGGCTGCCAACCGTGACATTCAAGGAGTCCCCTTGACGGACCTGCGACGATGACGGCCCGATGACATACGGAGGGGGTGTCGACTGCGCCTGGATGGACGCGTGTCGGGGCATCTGGTCATTGCACGCCTGGAAATTGAAATTAGACTATTCAAATCAAATAAAAAAAAAATTGATTAATTTTGACCACTGGTGGCACTTATGAACGTCAAACAGTAAAAAAAGGTAAAACATAAGGGCCACTTTACATGACATGTCTCCTTATCTTTTGGGCCCTACCAGCGCTTCAAGACAAACATAAGAATTATGGCAAGTCCTGAGAAGAAACGTCGGAACATATTCATTATTTAAGCCGTTACGGGACTATTCCCACCTCTCGTTCCCACCGCTCCAACTCCTGTGTAGCCAGGATCTACAGCTTGACTGCCAATAAAAACCTAGCCAGTGAAGGCCAAGTTTGTCCCGGGGGAATGTTAACCATCGGACCCGCAACGAAATTAAGCAGAAGGACATAGTTGAGAGTTGGCAGTTAAGGTTTGACTTCCCGTTTAAACCCGTTACTTAGTACAAAAATAAAACGCCTTTTTATTCGTTTCGGACAAAGGCCTCCCCTAAGGATTTCCACAACAACGGGTTATGCGCTGTTTGAATCCAGGTGCTTCCTGCGATCTTAATCAAATCGTCGAAAGTCGAAACAAAAAGCACTAACGTCTACTTGAAATCGCTTCGTTTCAACGTTATTTCCTATGTTACAATCATAGTCAAATAGTTCGTGACACTCAAAGTGGTCAAAAAGTTAATGGCACATCTTTATTCCAATTGTAACAAAGACGTGTTGCAAACTTTTTGACTACTTACTTTTGGTGTCACTAACTACACTCGACGTCAAATAAATCGCACCTCCCGCGACAAGCACTTTCAAACGACATGCATCCCCACTTCCCACCAATATTGGCACCATTTAAAAGCCTAGTTCTAAACTTCATTTAAAAAATGTGTCTTTAGAAGGATCCAGAGTCACTTCATCAAAAAATAGGTAGTTACGTTTAAGCTATCTTTTATGGCTATAAAATTGTTAAGTTGAGATTAATCGCCATCCATCTGTTAAAGAGGGCACGTGAGATCATTATTTGGTTTTAAAACCATAAAAATTGGTCTAATTGATCCCAGAGGTGAGGTCAAAGTGAGGTCTCTTTTCAAGTCACATTTTATGGTATATTTGTCAATCATTTATTAAGAAATTAAATGTGTTTTTCTTTAAGAATATTTATTGGGTTTTCAAATAACACCAATATTGATGGGACACCATGATTGTGTCAGAAGAAAATCTTTAAAGGCCGCGTCGCGGAAGGTGCGATTTATTTGATGTTGAGTGTATAAGGCTGACTGTACTTACCTAATTAAGTACTTAGCTCTGTGAAGCTATTTCTGTGTAAAACTGACACGAATGTGGGTATAATTATGTAAGGTGTGAATCAAAAATCGCAATATCGATTCCATCGTCAAAGAAAATTAGTCTCAGAATAGTGTTGGACGTCCATCAGACCAATGCGTAAACACCAGTTTCTTATCTTTTTAATGATAAAAAAATAAAAAAGCTACAAAACAACGCATACCTACTTACATTTTGACCTGGTATTTTGATCAAAACATATTAGTTTTTAACATTTTTACTTTGTTTACAAACATGATTGTGTATTAAAACTACTGCCTTTGACAACTTTATTGAGGAAAAAAGATTATAAAATGATGCCAAATGGATATCGGATGCAAATTATAAGAACAAGGTACAGAATACAATAGGTAAAATGTGACGTGATGTCATTGTTAATTATTATGCAAAGGGTAAAATCATTGTAGTTAGGTAAACCAAGATAATTAACGTTGTTCTACAACTAGTACTGTTTAATAGTTATTGTTAAGGATACTAGGTAATTTATAAATAGGATAAAAAATATACAAATACTCCTATTTATCGTCGAGCTGTTACAGAGTGAAAGGAAGTACAATGGCTCTTGTTGTAAATTATTGTAAGTGTAAGTTAGTAGTTTGGCTATGTGCGATAAAAATAATTGAAAATATGGTCCGAAGTATTCAACAGTCGTAGAACTATTTTTAAAGTAAGTTCCGATTTCTCCGGGAGAACACCGAGCCTATATTCATGGATTCGGAACGGACGTTAGAAAACCGCACTAAAAGGAGTGACTCGCAACATAAAAGTTTAATCTGAGGGCTTAGTGTGAGTTTAACATCAAACGTCGTCCCTACTCCCTAGGGAAGCTGTACAACTCGTCATACATTTAGGGTGGGTTGCACCATCTTTGTTTAACTTTGACAAACGTCTAAAATCTGTCAAACTCCATACAAAAAACACCGGTTATCGTCATAGTTACGGTCAAAGTTAGGTGGTGCAACTCACCCTTAATGTCACTTTTTTACGCAGTCGACATCGAATGCGTTTGACTTAAACGGGGGGTCTAGACAAAGTGCAAATTATAATCGCAAACCAGTCTAAAAGTGGTCGAAAAGCCTCTTTTTTGTATGGAGTTTTGACGGATTCGATTTTCGATTCGATCAAAAAGTGCGTTTTGTCCAGGGGGGTGCTTAAACTCACACTACGCCCCCTGAAGTGCCAGCACTCCTTGTTTTAAGTTTAATAAAGTAAATATAGCTTACCCCAGCGGGAGCTCCTGAGCTATACTGCTCGGATGACTTGATGAGGACCAGTAGAGTCAGGAGTATCGTACTTCTTTTCCTGGGCAACATGGTTGTGTGACCTGCAAAGATATTTATGTAAAACGTTAAAGATTTCCTGGCCTGGACTTGGTATTACATGGATCTCACAACTTTTTACCGTAGAACAACTGAGTTGCGAGACTTGGTTTTTTTGACAAGTATTGTTTTTGATGGGATCTCATTTCTTTTTGTATTTTGTAGACAGCAGTTATGTATCTAGAAAACTGGACCGAAATTGAAAAATTTTACTCGACTTGGCGGTTGCACTGCAAGAATGCATGGTAAATTCAGTGAACTGCTCCTGAATCGAATGTACCTACTACTACTACTTCTATTTATTTATATTAACCGGCAGACAGTGGTGACTGAGTTTGTTGCGGCGCTTCTTCTCAGCACTTGCCAAATGTTGGTCTCGAAGCGCTGGTAGGGTAAAAAGATTATGAGACATGTAGAGGCTCCTTAAGAGCATATTTTATGACGATTTGTAAGAACTATTTATTAGTCTAAACAAATAAAGAAATTTTGACTTTTGACTTTTTTGACACTACCGTGCCCCCAAATCTCATTTCTTTTTGTATTTTGTAGACAGCAGTTATGTATCTAGAAAACTGGACCGAAATTGAAAAATTTTACTCGGCTTGGCGGTTGCACTACCGTGC